GGAACCCGCACGCGCTCCCCGGCGGCGTTCACACCCGGGGCCCGGCCTCGCCGCGGCCGCACGAGGCGCACGTCCTCCGGAGGGCCAAAAGCCAGCAATCCCGGGTCTCACCCCAGCCAGCGTCACAGGCCTGAGCTAAACGACTTGTTCCAAGGGCGTCACCCATCAGCGGGCTTCCGCGTACTTAACACCTTGAATCCAGACCCAGAGAGGCTGCCATTAGCAAGATTAATTGTCTGCACGCACTATTTAATTCTTCCCGCTCTGCAGAAGCAAAAGTGACACATCTCCCAATTAGAGGGCGGGGGCCCCGTGAGACGGCCAGTCACTCAGGAGGACGACACGTCATCGCCGCTTACACGGAGTGTCCGTCAAGGACATCCCTGCCGGGCACCATGCAAGGCTCAGGCCTGAGAGCCCCTTGGGCGTCGGCGGCGGGGGGGCACGCAGGGACTCGACCTCCAGGAGAAGTCCCACCGCTGACCTTCTCCAGGTAAGATGGGTCAGGGGACAGAAGGGACGCGGACGCCTCAGCCATCATCTATTCCTTTGCTTCAACTTGGGAAGTTGAGGCCCAGAGAGGCCGGGCGCTGCCCAGGGTCATGCCCGTGAAACCACGGACAAGAGGCTGGAACAAATGTCACGTGACCCTGGACAAGTCACCTCCCATCTCGTGGCCCAGGTTCCTCATCCAGGAAATTAGAATCAGCACGGCCCCCGCCCCAGAGGGAGTGCTGAGGACCGAAGGGGCTCGGAGACATGGTGCCCAGCTCTCTGCTCACAAGGTCATTCACTCAGAAAAGTGTGTTCTCTTGTGTCTCCCCTGGCCCTGCTGAGACCTGGTCGGGCTTCCCGAATGTGACGGCGCCCTGCTGACGCTCCACAGGTCGACATGGATACAAGGCCGGGGACCCCGCAGCGTCTGCCCAGGAGGCGTCGGATCTGCAAGATGAGTACTTCCCGTGAATGACACAGGACTCAGAGGGGCCACTACTGGGACGACCCACCAGCTACCATCCTCGCAGGGGAAGGGGATGCGGACCCGGCATGGGACGAGCAAAGATAACTGACAGCACCCGGGCGCACGTCCCTGTGGAGGGCGATCGGCGGGCACTGTGGGGGGCCTGGGCCCACGAGGGAGGCGTGGCAGCCCTGCACACCCACGGGGCGTGGGGCTCTGCACCTGGGAGAGGTCTTAGGGGCAGAAACTGGGGCGTGAGCCAAAGATAGAGCCCAGGTGACGGTTCCAGCTGGGGAGTCAGGCAGGCATGGCCTCGAACCCAGCCTCGCGCGGTCACACAGAGCAGTCTGCGCCTGGGCCTCCGCACCTGTGATAAAGGGCTGATGGCACCCACCTCCCACCAGCCGCCGGGACTCAAGGAGTAATGTCTGCAGTGGGCCCAGCAGTGCACACACACTGTGGTTCCTGGCCCGTGATCTGATTGCTTCTCTTCAAGAACAGCAGAAGGGAAAAAACCCAAGAGGAGGGAATGGGACCTTAGCTGTCCCCACATGTGGCAAAGTCTCCTAGCCGCCCCACCCCCCAGATCTCTCTCCCTCCTTCGCAAGAAATGAGTTCCCAATGAACACAGGGCTGCCTGGCTACAGCTCCCACTTCCCATCCCCTCTTGCAGCGAGAACACTGGGTAAAAAATAGAAAGCTGGGAAGAAGATCCCTGCTCTTAATAGAAAAGTGCTGCCTCCCCCTTTTTCTTCCCTGATGCACGGAATGGAGCATGGATGTAATGGCAGAAGCCGAGCAGCCATCCTGTACCACGAGGAGGCCACATGCTGGGAACAGGGATGGCAGAGCGAGGGATGTGCGAGCCAGAGCTGCGGAGACCGCGGTGCTGCCCAGACTTCTGCACTAGAGAGAGAAAGACTGTGTTTAGCTGCTTTCACAAGCTCTCCTGTTTGAGCAGCCACACCCGTCTCACCACCAGCCATTGGTCTTCCCCAGCCAGCAAGGACCAGCCATCTTCTACAACTAACATACAAAAATATTCAGATCTCCTAACATCCATTTGGGCATTTTCCGGTCTGAAGAGGGGAAGTTCAAATGCAATAAGGAGGCAGAGTTGCAAAAAAAAGAAAGTGAAAACAAAGAGACTCCTCTCATCAAGGCTCTTGAGGGCGAGAACCAGAATCATGCCCAAGGTGGTGGCGATAAATAAGGGCCCACAAGGAACAGAGGAAATGCGGGGACCCACGGCAGGCGCAGCCGGGGCACAGGGAGGCTGGCAGGGCCACCTCGGGGGACACGGTCTCCAACCTCCGCTTCCCCAGGCAGCGGCTCCTCTTCTCCCTCACTCCCACTCTCTCCCGCCCTCTGCTCTGGACTGGTCTCTGCTGTCCACCCACGGCCAGGAGGACCAGCAGCCAGCCTCCCCGACCCCAGCATCGGGCTCTAGCCAGCACCTCCGACCAGCTCCCAGCCCACCTGCCCAGGAGAGGGGTCAGCTCGGCCCTGCTCACTGTGCTGAGCCAGGACACGGGCCATGGGCCACAGGACACAGGGCACAGAGCAGAGGGGACAGGGCACAGGACACGGGACAGAAGAACACGGGGCACACGACACAGGCCACTGGGCACTGGCCAGCCTGCGGCGCAGTGCGTCCTAAATCAAGTGCCCGCCCCAGCCCGGGCTGCTCCAGCTCTGTCCAGGGTGAGGCTGAGAGGGGCAGAAACGGAGAACATCTGACCCCACGCCCTGGCCTGGAAATCGGGACCCCCAGGTCCAAGCCCACCCCCAGCACCAGCCCGCACTGAGGCATTAAGCCACCGCTGCCCCAGAGCCTCGGGGCTCTCGTGTGGGTGGAGGGGCAGCTCTCCCGTGCGGACGCAGCCGGCTCTCAGCAGAGAAAGGAGACGAGCAGAGCTCTGGAGACGCCCTCCACCCCCGCACACCAGGCTGGGGCCCAGGCTGGTCCTGGGGGTCAGCCGGGGGCCGCTGCACCACTGCCGGCCCCCCGTGCGGCCCCCCGACATTCACCCACCGAAGCCGACGCCCCGCCCAACTCTCGCGCACGCTTTCCCCAGAACCTCGCCCGTCGGCACCACGCGGCCTGAGCCTCCAACAGCAGGACAGACGGCACATGGAGAACACACACAGGGGCTCCCGGCGGCCCCCGGCCCCGGCGGGGTGAGGGGACCCGGCAGGACCGGGCTGATTCTTCCTGGGGGGCACCTGAGCCCGCCAGCCGCCCTCCTGGGATCTGGAGTGGGGCTCGCCTGACCCGCTCCCCTAGGCTTCCCGGGCTCAGGGTGCCCATGGGCTCGGCGCAGGGGGCCCGGGGAACCAAAGGCAGGCAGCTTTTCCGCCCTGTTAGTGGAGAACATTCCAGACACAGGGCTGATACCTCACACGAGGACCAGTCCTCTCAGGGACCAGGAGACGAGGCAGCAGCCAAGAAAGAGGCAGAAGGAGGCACGTGAGCCGCCCCCCCCACCACCCTGCGCCCTGGACGTGGGGCTCCTGTCCCCCCGCCACGTGTCCTCAGCCCCGCAGCAGGCAGAGCGTGGAGAGGGGGATGCGGGGGGCGGGGGGAGGAGGGAGACCACGAGACCCTCGGTGACGGTGCAGCTGGGGGCCCCAGGGAGCCTCGGGGACAGGCCGGGCTCCAGGGTGAGTGTACAGGGCTGTGCAGGTTGGATTCGAGGCCATCCTGGCTCATGCGGGGGCGAGTGGTTTGTGAGCTGGGGAGCGTCCTCTGAACAAAACAGGCCTCTGTTTATTTTGGAAACCAGGCAGGAGGCGAGGGGCAGGGAAAGCAAACACCCTTTAGAGAAGGCTCGCCCCGCAATCTACAAACACACTCAAGCAGGGACAGGATGAAGTCACCTGCCCAGGGTCTCTCGGGGGATCCGCCCCGGGGTCCCCAGAAGCCAGCCTGCAAGGGTCCCCGATGATTCCCACTGCCTGAGACGGAGCCTGGACAAAGGGCAGCCCAGCGGTCACCCTGAGTGGATGTCGTCTGGGGACCGGGCCTGAGTCAGAGGACGGGGCCCAGGCTGCAGCGAGAGGAGGGGCCGGGGAGGGGCCACACAGGGATGGGCTGGGGCTCAGGGGCCACCGGGCTGGGAAACCCAGGGCCGAGCTCAGCTTCAGCCACTGAAAAACCGCTCCTGAGCTCCTCTAAGGAGGAAGGAAGGAAACTAACCCTTAGTCCAGGGAGGATCCCTGGGCCTGAGGCGACCACAGCCGCGGGGGCGGGGGGAGGGTGGCAGCCCTGGCCGGAAGAGGAGGGGCCAGCCCTTCCCACTCAGTCCAGGCAGACACAGCCCCAGGGGGCCCTCGGAACCCCCGAGACTCTAAGGGAGCCCATGGGCCTCTCCCCGGAACACAGCGCACCGAGGCGGCCTCCGGCCCTGGCACCCGGACCCCGGCGCCCAGGGAAAGAAAGAGCTCGTGACTCAGGCGTGCGCACCTGTCACCCGCCTGGGCCTGCAGTGTCCGCACAGCCCCACGCGCTCAGCCCCAGCACCGCATCCCCCCAAAGGCAGAGGACGACACTGGTCAGAACACAAAGCAGTGCCGTCAGACGGGGGAGGCAGGAAGAGGGGGCTGGGGAAGGAAGGGCAGGAGGCCGATGCTCTGGAGACGAGAGGAGGGGGCAGGAAAGGGAGAACACACGGGGTGAGGATGGACGGGGGGGGGGGGGATGGAAGATGCTAATCTAAACGTCAGGGGCAGGGAGGGAGGGGAGGCGACCCCCCAGCCAGGAGTGAGGAGATGTTTACAGCCAGTAAGGCAAGCGCCAGGGCGGTGAGCGCATCGTGGAGAGCCAGAGAGGTGACCAAGGAGACTGAGAGACAGTCAAAAAAGAAAGTGCAGCCCTGGCGGGGCCTGGGGGGAGGGGACCGCCGCTCTCCACTGCAAGCCCGACGGCCTGACTGGATGGCCTTTGTGCCCTGTGCGCATGTATAATCTCTTGGACAGAAATTACTAAGAATTAAAATGATGAACTCGAACATCCATCAACAGATACACGGATAAATGGAACGTTACTCAGCCACCAAAAGGAATGAAGTTCTGAGACCAGAACCTCCAAAATATCACGCTCAGTGACAAAGCCAGACCCAGAGCCACGTGCTGCATGAGTCACTCCACACGAAACGTCCAGAATGGCTAAACCCAGGAGCCGGAAAGCGGGTGCAGCGCTGCCTGGGGCTGGGGGAGGCTGGGCGGGGGGGGGGGCGCGGAGACGGGGGTGGCTGCTAAGAGCTATGGGGGGTTTTTTGGGGCGATGAAACGTTCTGGAATTAGACAACGCTGTGAGTATACATACTAAAAAGCGCCGAGTGTACACTTCAAAAGGGTGAACTCAGTGATATGTGAATTATATCTCAATAAAGCTGTTATATTTTCTTAAGTGAGAACATTGGCTTCGACACATTGGCAAAAAAGCCGCCTTGAAAAGGCCAAAGCTGTCGACTGAGTCTGTGCCTCCTTCATCAGCAGCTGCACCGAAGTCCTTATAAAAGTCAGGGAGGCTCTCAGCACAGACACGGGCCGGTGACCAGCACCGCGTCCCGCCAGCCACGGCCGCATGCCCGGCCCCCGGCCCCGCTCACAGCCAGTGCGTTTCCGCGGCCCGCCTGCAAGGGAGGCCCTCGATGCTGGTCGCTAAGTCAGTCATGTTTGCACACCGCTTTGTTCGTGGAAGTGACGTTTCAGTTCCGTGTAATGCTTTAATTCCGTTTTGATTTTATCCCAAAACCTTCCATAAGCTGTCTGTTTCTTCCAGATTTGTACTGACGAGGGGACGATGTTAACACAAATGACGTGTGGCTTTTCAGATTTTTTTTTCTTAGCAACTTGAAGAAAAGGTAACTGACACCAACGTTGGAACGCTGAGAACGCTGTGGACTCAGTGCAGCGGGCACCAGCAGCCCTCAGTGTGTCCCGTACTGTCCCTGGGTCTCGGGGCACACGCTCCGTCCAAGGTGCCAGTCAGCCCTTCGGAAGGACTGGGGAAGCCCACCTCCCTGAGGAGCCCCCCCAGGCACTGAGGGTGTGGAAAGGGGCCCTCCCTGGGCCTCCAAGCGTTACAAATCTGCACACTGGAGGGCCTCAAAACGCTGCCTGAGTTAAGAACGAGCGGCATTTCCACCTGTACATGAAGGTGCCCCAGACTGGCACCCAGCGCTGTGGCACCAGCGTCCCTGTGCTGAGCAGTCAGGCGAGGGGGATGGGCACGGAGCGGGACACAGCCAGTGCTCACGGACAGGAGGACGGGTGAGGGGGGCTGGCGGGGCACAGACAGCACAGGGGCAGCAGGACAGCCCGGAACCTCCTCCCGGGAGTCGGGGCTGAGCCAGCGGCCAAGTGCACAGTCACCTACCAAGTCCCCCACCCACACCCCGCAGCACGAGGATGACCGCTCTGGGGAGGGCCCCCTGAGGACAGGGTCCCCTTTCTGTGCCCCTCCGCCCGGGTACAGCCACCCAGGCCTGCCCAGCTGCCCCTGGCGCCCCTTGAACCATTTCCCTCAAACGGCCCATGTTCTTGTCACTCCCAAGAGTGATCAGGAGCATGAAACACTGGTGCAACCATGGCTGGGGGCTGCTGGGTGCCCCCTGAGACCAAGACCCTGACCCCACACCCCAGGGCTCTGCACACAAATCAAAGCTCTGCAATCACCAACGACCTCACGTCACAGAATCCCAGGACAGCTTGAAGGTCAAACCACTGACCTCAGATCCACCAGGGCCAGGCAGCTGTGGGCGGTGGGCCCCTCCAGAGCCTTCTCTCCCGACATGTGGAGCCCCCGCTTCCCCACAGCACATCTGGGACCCACCCAGGTCACAGGGGCCGGGAAACCTCGGGGACCACCACACCCCCTCCCTCCACCACAGACAGACACAGCAACCTGCAGGGGGCACGGGCCTGCCAATCGGGGGGAGTGAGGCCACACCCACCCTCCCCCGACCAGGCTGGCTGGTCAGCGTCCAAGGGGAGGCCCTGGCTTGGATCTTGGGCAGCTACGCTGTCCCCCACACTTCCTGCAACCAAGGCACAAACTGCACGTCCAAGGACGTGGGGCAGGGAGACACCACCCAGGACGCAAGCCCCGCTGGGGTGCTGCACCCATGTCCCCAGTTACAGAAATGCAAACCTCACAGGCCCGCCATCATCAGGGCCAACAAGCCCAGCCAGCCGGCCTCCGGCTCGGAGGAGCACCACTCCTCCCCCGGGCACGTGAGGACCTGCTGCGTGAGGCCAGCTACCCAGCCCCCGCCACTGCTCTGAACTGAGGCCGATCTGGGCCGTTCACTTGTCCCCCGCACAAAGACTGAAGGTGCCCCAGCTTCCCCGCTGACCTTGGGGACCAGGAGGCAGGGTGGGGAGAAGGCGCTTCGATCCAGCTGGTCCAGCAAAGCCGAGGGACGGAGCAGGCCGCCAGGTGACTACCTCCAAGCTCCACAGAGTTGCTGACGCCCGCTCGGAGCAGATTTACGGGATGGAGAGAGTCTCGCCGGAATCACAGCTAATTTATGGGCTCTGGAGGGAGATGCTGACATTTCCTAGGACCTGCCGCTTCCTCGTAAGTCACTCTCCTGTTCTCGCTTGGCGCGGGCCGGGCCACCCATGCTTTGTAAATAAATGCCAAGCCTGATGAGTTTCCAAACAACCAGGCCGAAAGTAACAAAGAGAGTGACAGTCACCGGCGGTTCCCAGCGCACCTCAGATGATCACAGAGGCACAAACGGTGCAGAAGGGAGGGGGCGGGGCGCACCCCCCCCCCCCGAGAGCACAGGAGGGCAGAGGCCAGAGAGGGGCCTGTCACCCCTGCAGCGGTCCTTGGGGTCACTCGGGGGAGGAGAGAGGCGAGGAGGAGGGGGGCCTGGCCTGCTGGAGTGAAAAGGCGGAGGGAAGAAGCCAGCCTAAACTGAGGTGCGGCCCCGCGGCCGGCCTCACCTCCGCTCCGGCTCCCAGCAAGGCTGGTGGGCGCCGCATCCTCCCTGGAGAGAACCCGTCGGGACCCACCAACCCCCGCCTCCTCCTCACTGCCCCCCCACCTCTCAGACCCTCCTGGTCCCGGACGCCCCCCACAGACAAGGCCCTCCAGGGTCGGCCCCAGCCAG